AGAATCAAATGCTGCGGCTGAAGTCGTCCACTCTGCCTGTGAGGATGCCTGCCTCGGGCCTTCCCAGGGGAGAGAGTGCATCTTGGAATGGGGTTGGCTGTGGACAGCCTGGCTCCTCCCCTCAGGAGCCTCACACCCTTAGAGCATGCCCCACCTGCGCTGTGTCCTCAAGGTGACAGCGTGGTGGCTGCAGCACACTGAGTCCACAGGGAAGCTAGTGATGACCTGACATTCGCAGTGACTCCATATGAGTGTGGGGCTCTGAGTCCAGCTTAATGTTTACAGTTCCAATAGCCATTTGCAGTAGGTAACGTCCCTTCTCAGACTTCCCCATTACCTGCGAGCACAAACTTACTCTTAAGGTTTATGTATAATTGACTGCTGTAAAGATATATATTTTTTGGGTCCGTTCTTTTCCTTCTTTAACTTGGTGGTAGAAAACCATATTTACTTAGAAGCCCTTAAGTTAAAGCCGTGTTTTCTGTGCAAGTCAGGTGACGGTGTGAAGATCTCGTGAACAGCCACGCACAGCCCTTCCTCTGCAGGAGACACTGGCTCCCTGATTACTGCATTGAACTTGTGTTTGAGGTTACCTCAACTTGTTTTTAAAAGATTTCGTCTGTGAGTTTGTATATTTGAGTAGCTGTCTCTCGTTTTATTTAAATTGTTTACCATGTACCATGTACATGTCATTGCTGTATCTCAGTGCATCATGCTTGTAACAGGCATTTCGTTTATAAGAATGAGTTACTCATTTGTAAGCTGTTCAGTAATTTATCTACTATTCCTAAATTGGCATAATGTTAGATTCCTATTTTGAATCACCTTTAATTACATGTCAGAATGCCTTAACCCTAACCTGACAACACTGAGTTCTTTGGTGAGGAGATACAGGGGCCGGGTATGGAAGGAGACTGGAATAAGGAGACGTTATGCTCCGTTGATCATGGAGCATGAGGGGCACGTGGTGGGTATTTATTTTGCACAAACTCTTTGTTGTGTCTGTGTTTAAAACAGTACGGTTGCATCCAGACAGGGTGTGTGACCCTAGGACTGACTACTTCACCTCTTCTGTGTGGTTTGTAATTAGTTTCTGGTCAGAAGTATTGTAGCCTTACAATCTGGGTATATTTTGCATTAATTTTCCAATGCCGACTTTTAATTCCTGCTAAGAGCAGAGCTGGTCAAGTCGCTGGCTTTTTTTCTGCTCTTATTTAGCCCATCAAGCAATCTTTATAAAGGTAGATTGGTGTATTTTATACAACTTAGTTACTTAGTCAACTCACTTTTCTGAGCAGTGATTGTTAGAAAGGGACAATGTGGCTGTTGTAGAACACTGAAAACCACGGGGCAGGCATTGAGGGTCAAAGTGGAAATTACTTTGGGCCTGGCACATGGGGTAGTGACATTACATATTCCATTTGCTCCTCCCGTCCTTTGTGTTATACACTTCATTTCATGACAGGTCAGGTGGACTGAGTGCTGCCTCCAATTCCCCATGGCCAGGGGCTCCGTCACACACCCCTTGATAGGTCCAATTTTGGAACCTGGTGTGCATGTGTGTTGTATTTTAAATCAAACAATGTAAACACTCATACTTGTCTCATGGAGTGAACTTTTATAACAAAAGAGAAATTTGGGTTTTAATTTACAAATGGCAAATTATTTATCCCTCTCTGGATGCACCAAAGACCAGTAAAGTTTATAGCTTTTCCATCTATATTTATAAAGCAATACTGTATTATAAAAAAATCACTATTTTTATCACATGCTTGAAATTTTTATTTTGTTCTGTTTTAAAAATGTGCACTCTAAACATATCAGAACCTTATTTCTTCCTATGAACTTAAGCTGCCTGCGCACAAAAAATAAATAATATTACCAAAAGGAGATGAAGTAGCTAGAGTCCCTAGGCTCTTAAAAATTGAAAGCAATGAGGGTGGAAACAAGTTATTTGTCCCGAGTTACTGTATGTGCTTGATGTGGTTGATAGGTTACTAACTCACAAAGAATCCATTCCAGGTGTGCGTGTCTGGGCTGGGCTGTGTCTGGAGTAGAGACTGAGTATGTGCTTTCTGAGGCAGAAGAATGCCCTTTTCTGCCACTGCCCTTGTTCTGGACAAAGTAGGCAGCAGATAGAGACCTCACAGGACTGCCATCCCAGTGAGTGTTGTGTTGTGTTGTGGAGGTGGCCGGCAGGATTGGGTAGGGCTGTTTGTACTTTTGGATAGGTTCATGGCTCTTTGTCACTGTACATCAACTATCTTTGGCAAAGTTAAAACACTCAGTTTCTTTGGAGACTTTCACAGTTTTGCATTTAAAAAAACTTTGTGATACCAAGAAGAAAAAAAAAAACTGCTTATAAAGCAAAATATGAACCAGAAAACATTTAGATTCTATTTCTTTCAAAAAAGTAAATTTATCACAGAATTGAACTTTTTTTTTTTTTTTTTTTTTTTTTTTTTTTTTTTTTTTTTGTTTTCTCTGTATTGCTTTGGAGCTTGTCCTGGAACTCACTCTGTAGACCAGGCTGCCTTCAAACTCCCAGAGGTCCGCTGCCTCTGCCTCCCGAGTGCTGGGATTAAAGGCGTGCACGACAACTTCTCAAGTAAAGCAGTGTCCATGTCAAAATGTAACTGTTAGCAGGTAGTTTGTGGCAAAGGTGACTAAAGATGAAGCAAATCTGAATCTGTGTATACTAATGAACTGTGTTTTCTGTTGAGACTATCATTGTTTGTCCTATAAGAGGCAATGACCTGAATCTCTGTCTGAAATATAACTTATGCAGGAATAGTTCTGTAAATACATTTAAATAAACTGTAAAGATATTTAATAAATATAGTATTTATACTAATTGCCACTCCTTTGGTTTTGAATGGTCAGGAACTAGGACACCAGTCCTTTCTAGCACATCCTTAACCCCAAGCCTCTTGGTCTACCTAACAGTGGGCCAGCACTACAGAGCTTCACCATTAGAACTGGTGTGGATGTTAATAAACAGCTACTTATCTTCCTCAAAAATTCACCAAAATGGACTGGCAATTGAGTGTAAAATTGAGGTGTTTTTTGTTTTTGTTTTGATTTTTTTTCCAGCCGGGGTATCGTTGTACCTTCCAAACAGTACTGAATGAAACTACCAAAAATTGCTGCTGACCCAGGTTGACAGTATCACAGTCTTGTATAGACTACTCTGTACTCAGGGTACTGCTGACCCAGGTGCTGTGGAGTGAACCCAGGCCTTGTCCTCAGCAGGGAGACCTACAGAGTTGCTCTGCAGCCACCTGTGTCCGTTAGGAATGTCAGAAATCAGTTAGTCATCAGTGTAAACATGGCATTTATAAATTCTCAGCCTACAATGGGGAAGACAGAACTACTGAGATAGGTGGGCATTGCCAGTTTCTACAAAAAGCTTGGTGAAAGCCCATTTTTCATTCACACAGGAACATTTTGGGATAAAGTTGGGTTTTTATTAGGTTACTGTGGGCAGCTGTGACTCATTGCTAAGCTACAAGAGCCAAATCACTCTGGTTTCAGCTAGAATCTGCTCACACTTCTGAAGCACGCTAATCCACTTAGGCAGCACTTCCAATTTCTAAGGGACTAAAGTACAGTGGCCTGCTGGTTGACATTTCCTTATGGTTTGATGGCTTTCTGAAGACTTAGCAATAAGATGTTCCCTAAGGCTCCTTTGTCGGCTTGTAATTGACTGTAAACAGATTTGAAGAGAGAGTCCCACAACATAAGATGTTATGTAATATTGTGTCTGTGCAGGTAAGCAGCTCCATCTGAGAAAGCAGGCGTTCGTCTTCCTCATTCCACTGCAGCCTGAACTCAGGCTGCTGCTGCGGGTGCTGATGATTCAGACAGACTGGGCTTCACTCCACTCCATGCTTTTTTTTGGAAAGGCAAGACAAAGTTTTACTTTTAAGTGATTACAAGCACACCAAATAACATGTAACACGTTCTTGAGTGCTAGCATCTAGTAATTTGGGTTAAGATACACTAAAAGCAGCCTGAACAAGCATATTCACTGTCCTAAATTAGCCAGAATGGACTACTATAAGGCTGGCTGTTGCTTCATAAGAGTTACAAATGCTATTTACTACTTTCTTATAGATAACACCCCTGACCTTTAAGAAAGTGGAAGGGAACAATTTATTCACTTTCTTTCTTCAAAGAATTGTTTGGTTTTTTGTTTTTTGTTTTGTTTTTTTTTCTATTAGGCTAATAAAGGAAAATCAACAGTGATGCCTGCTGCTTGCACAAACACGCAGGAAACATATATTCCTTAAAGACACACAAGGTAAAAAGATGAAACTTCAGGGACTTACTAAGTTGTACAAAAAGCTAGATTTTATACTCTCAAAAAGTGAAGGAATCTAAAACAGCATAGATAGATAAGGTAATGCCTTCCAGAACAGAACTCGAGCTCTGTGGAGGTTTCCTATTTTATGAGGGCATCCCCCAAACCACCCACAGAGCAGGTGCTTCCACCTCCTATCTGTTTATGTGGTAGTTTTCATGGATTTCTGGACAAATGTCTCACACACACACAAAGGCCAGGAGGTTATCCAGGACTTTATCCCTATTCTGCTGGAAGTAGTTCTGGAGGACGGTCATGATCTCCTGGGCCTCCTTCACCTCACTACTACAACTGCCATGAGACCCCAGGGCCACAGCTCCCTTGGCTTTGAACTCCTCCTCTCTCTGCAGGCAGTGCCCTTCAGTCTCAGCCTGGGCTGCTTCCTTGGCCTGCTTCAGCCTCCAGTTCTTTCACTTGCGGGCCTCAGACACCTTCTTGGCCACCGGTTTCTCGGCCTGCAGCATCTGCTGGATGCCTTGCGACTGACTCACCATGGCTGCGGGGACTCTCAGCCCTGCTCGCTCCAGTCTGTCTGTATCCCACTGCATAACATGCAGGAACCAGAGCAAATGAAGGTTGAGGAAATAAAATTGTATAATATATAAAATGACCACGAAGTGAAAGATTAACTGTATATTTTTTTTTATTCACAACCTTTTCTCTAGTCTGAAAAAAAACAATGAACAAAAACTGCCAGGTCATTGCATAAGAAGGGACTGCATGACTGTTGTCTGCAGTCATGTACAGAAGAGTCCTAGGGCCCCTGAGAAGCTGTCTGCCTTTTAGGGACCCACAAAAGGCATGCCAAGGCTGCAGGGTAAATGATAGTATCTAAGAACCTTGATATGTTGGTTCCTGTGACACTGCTCTGTCCTCAAGTGGCACAATGGATTTGTAGTGCACAGTGATAACAGGAAAGCAGAGACCTCTCCAGAGAAGCTGGGACAGTGTCTGCTCCATTTCCCCTGGGCCTTCAAGGAGCCAGGGTCCAGCACCCAGTGCAATTCTCGCTGAGCATTAGGCTGTGGACGAACGCTCATCCGCTCACATCCTCTTCACTGTCACTTGCTATTGCCAAGCTGTCCAAAGGGTGGCTGGCATATTCTTGCTGTTGAGAAGAAACTGCTCCAAAGAACATGCAGGAAAACTGGAAGGAAAGACAGAAACTTGTGGTTTATTCTGAAGACAAAGCATCCTCACTAAAAGCTCCCACTGAGCCTTTGAGAATGGGGTCAAGTGCTGCCACTGTCTTTGATGATGATGAATCTTAGACACCATTATCATCCAAACTTATCTAGATTGAGAGCCTCTTCTGATGTCATCAGCCCAAGACAGAACCTTTGTGAATGGTGGTCCACTGTGACCTTTCTTGGAGCTACAAAAATGTCCACCAGGACTGAGAAAGGCAAAGGGGGTGACTAGCTGTCCCCGCCCATACTTGCCCTGCCCCCACCCAGGCCCTGCTGCTCTGTTTAAGGAGCCTTGGTGTTGGTGATGTTAGATGTGCCATCCTCTTCTCTTCATGAACCTGTCCATAGACCAGGTCTCTCATGCCTGTGTTAAGGTTCCCTGTGTTAAGCTTCCGACCTCAGCACCTCCCAGAAACAAGCTCCATTCCTGAAGCAGCCACCATAGCAGAAGACATGAGACAGGCTGGAGAGAAGGTGCCTTCTGCAGGTGTGACAACAGCAGCTTCGACCCCTCCCTCATTCCAGTTAACTCCAGCTTAGCTGTGGTGAGCAGGGCAATAGCTCCACCACGGAATAAAGCCTAGGACCCCAGCGCACAGGTTTGTAGTGATGAAATCAGGTTGCACAGCTGATGTTACCAGCCAGTGGGCTAAAAACTTGGCTGCCTGGCTTGGGAGACAGAAAGGGATTATGAGCCTAAGAATGGAGGAAGGGGCCAGAAAGGAACAGGCTAAGTGACACCCGATGCTTAGCCCCATGAGAACCATTTCACACCATGACCTTTGGAACTGGAGAGTGCATTTGTGCTGTTCCTGCACTGAAATCTGTGACAACCTGTTAAAGAGCAGCAGTTGCTTTGAGCTCAGCTGGAAGCAATCTCTATTGCTTGATCAAGGTCAAGGTCCTGAGGCTAGAGATGACCCAAGCAGCCTTTTCTGACTGGTGTTTGGCTCCGTGCACTCACTCTCAGTAATGTTCATGGCACCCTCTGAGTCTGCAAAATTAGAGCTTATCTTGGTGTATGAAGATTGCCTGACTGTGCTTCAGGCTTGGGCTGAGTACTCTTTGCCACCTGCCCTTGTTCTTGATGTATACCTGGGCTTAAAAATCTGTGGCTGGTTGCCAGGCAGTAGTGGTGAACCCCTTTAATCCCAGCACTCAAGAAGCAGAGGCAGGTAGATCTCTGTGTTTGAGGCCAGCTGGGCTCAATGGTAGAACACTCCACTAATGTGCCAGAGACCTGGGTTCCAGCCCAGCATCACAAAGCAAAGGAAGGTGAGAAACTCCTGGCCCTGGGTCACAAGTGTGGGCTGTGAGGCACAGATGCATGAACAAAAACAGAGGGGCTGGAGAGGTGGCTCAGCACTTAAGAGTGTTTGCTTCATTCTTAGGACCTGGGTTCAGTTTCCAGGACCCATGCTGGACAGGTCACGACTGCATGTGACTCCAGCTACAGGGTAGCCAACACCTGTCTTCCACAGACAAACCACACACAAGGGAAGAGAGCAGTATCGCACCACACTGTCCTATAGGACAGAGAGGAAGCAGGATGCCTGCCTCTGGCTGCAACTCAGGAGTAGTGGACAGGAGAACTCAATGACTGGCACTGAGGAGGAAATCAGGCCATTTCTGTCTGACATGACTATGCTGAAGGAACCTAACGAGCAAGAAGACAACTCAGCCAAGTAGAGAGACAAAGTCAATGCACAAAATAACTGTGCACACATGTTAAGCAATTAGTGCACACCAATGAGAACATCTACAGCAACAGTCATGTAGCCCAAGCTGGCCTCAAACTCACTATGTATACCACACCATACCAAGCACATACAATGCTGGGATCAAACCCAGAACCCTGGGTGTCCTAAGCAAGCACTGCTCCCCCCTTTACCATTTATTTAAAGACAGAATCTCTAACGTCGGCTGGTTGGCCTGGAACTCATGATCTTCCTGCCTCACCCTCACAAGTGCTAGAATTCTAGCACATGGTTGTTCCCAGCCAGGAATACACTTAACAGTAGATTTTCAGCCTTTATGTAAAAGCTAGATGTGCTGCCCACTTCACTCCTACTGCTCAGAAGGCTGAGGGTTGGGAGTTTTCATCTGGGCTACGCAGTGAGACCTAGTCTTCACTACATCACCTTCCACAGGCACAAGCTGGGTGTGGTGGTGCATTCCAGCCCTTGCGATAGAGGCAATGGGTCCATCTTCAACTGCAAAGGAAATTTGAGGCAAACCTGGGCAACATGAGACCCTGTCTTAAGAAAAAGAAATGAAAAATAACTTTTTAGAGTCTGAATTCTAAAACAGCCCTCAAAGACTAAGTGGGCTTAAAGAGAAAACATAGCTTGGTTACAGGTGGATGAGCGAACAGCATAACAGTGCTTCGCCCAAATTAAGAGAAGTGTAAAGTAGTTTAGATAACAGCAGGCTCTTTTTGTGGAGATGGGCGAGTTGTTACTAAATTTTAAATTACAAGTAAATGTTCAAAAGTAGAAAAAGATAAGTCTGCAAAAAGCTACAGGCCACTGAACCAGAAGCCACTGATGAAGTGGCAGTGACTACGGAAGAGACTAAAGGGTCAGCCATAGCAAGTCCAGACATTGGCACAAGTGGCAAAGGAGACACCAGAGCCCTGGGCAAAGGCAGGCTGTAATTTTAAAGGTTTAAAGAGGTAGCTGCACAGCCATTCTGGAAAGACAAAGTTAGACCCATAATTTACAGCATGCACAAAGACAGACTCCAGATGGCTCAGTGAGTAAACATGAGGAAAGGGGTGGATTTCTTAACCCGTGTAGGAAAAGCTTTCTAATCGTCTCAAAATCATTTGAAATTTAAAAAAATACTATGTAAAGAAAAAATTCATTGCATGGCAAACAAAACAAAACAACAAAAACAATATAAGATGTGTAAGTGGCTGCAACAACCATCAGTGGTAGTGACTTATAAGCCTGTATCTGCAGTGGGCACAGCACAGGGTAGCTGCTAAGAGCACTTCTGTTCTTCTGAAGACCCAAGTTCAGCTCCCAGAAGCTATTTGACTTCACTCACAATCAGAGAAATGCATATTAAAACCATGTTGAGAGGGAGTGGAGACATGGCTCAGCAGTTATGAGTGCTTGCAAACCTGAGTTCAGTTCCCATCACCAAGTTGGGTGGCTCACAACTGCCTGTAACTCCCATTCCATGGGATCTGACACCTCTTCTGATTTCTGGGTACTTCACACATATGGCAGACATACACATATATAAAAACAAAAGGTCTTTAGTTCCAGAACTAAGGAACAGGTGGACTTGTGGGTTTGAGTCCAGCCCGGTCTACATAGTGAGTTCCAGGACAGCCAGGGATATGTAGAGAAACCCTGCCACAAAAATAAAAAAACTGGTGCTAAAGAGGTGACTGTAGTAAGAGCACCAGCTGCTCTTGCAGAGAATCCAGATTTGGTTCCCAGCACTTACATAGGGGCTTACAACCACCAGTAACTAGTTCCCAGAGATCCAACTCAGCCTCTGTGGGCACCAGGTACACATTCGACACACACTTAAACAGGCAAACACGCATACATAAACCTTTTAAAAGCAAAACAAAGTTTCTCAACTATAAATTTGGCAATGATTTTTTTCCCCCAAGTTTGGCATCACGTGCTGTTTGCAGACTTGGGGAAATTGTCACTCCTCTTCACTGCTACAGTAAGTAAACTACAGTAAGTAAGGACCTCAGTATCTGTACACACGGGTCACTTATCACACTCAGGAATAACTGACCTTAAGGCCACCCTTCTTTTTTGTGCATGTGTGGGAAGAGTGTTGGATTTCAAGACAGGGTTTCTCTGTGTAGCAGCTCTGGCTGTCCTGGAACTAACTCTGTAAACCAGTTATCAGAGATCCACCTCGAACTCAGAGATCCACCTGTTTCTGCCTCCCAAGTGCTGGGATTAAAGGTGTGCATCACCACCACCCAGCAAGGCCGAATTTATGCCAGGAGATACATGTGTAACCCAGTTTTTTCTTAAAGCTTTTTATTATGTATTTGCTTATTTTATTTATTACTTGTTTTTTCGAGTCAGAGTTTCTCTGTGTAACTGCTCTGTAGACCAGGCTGGTGGCTTCAAACTCACCAAGATCAGCCTGCCTCTACCTCCTAAGTGCTATGATTAAAGGCATATTCACCCACTGCCTGGCATATTCATTTAAGGCAAAGTCTCAAAAAACACCCTTGGCGCTGGGCGTTGGTGGTACACGCCTTTAATGCCAGCACTTGGGAGGCAGAGGCAGGCTGATCTCTGTGAATTCAAGGCCAAGCTGGTCTACAAGAGCTAGTTTCAGGACAGCTTCCAAAGCCACAGAGAAACCCTGTCTCCAAAAACAAACAAAAACCAAAAAGAGAAGAAGGAGGAGGAGGAGGAGGAAGCAGGAAGAAGAAGAAGCAGCCTTGCACAGCAGAAGGAACAATGAGTGAAAGCCTGCAGACTGGGGTAAAATCTTTGCTAGCTATACATCTGACAGGATCGGTATCTACAATGTATAAAAAATTCAAAAAAATAAATACCCAAAACCAAACAACAGGGCTGGCAAAATGGCTCAGCAGGTAAAGGCAGTTGAGTGCCAAGCCTGATGAACTGGGTTCAATCACCAGAACCCACACTGTAGAAGGAGAAAGCTTACTCTGACCTCTCCATCTACTTTGTACAGGTATGCACAGCACACACACACACACACACACACACACACACACACAAATGTGAAAACAAACAAACAAAAACACTCAGGGGCTGGAGAGGGGGCTCAGTGGATAAGAGCACTTACTTGTTGCTCTTACAGAGGACTCAGATTCAGTTCCCAGAATCTGTTACTACTGCTCCAGGAGATCTGATGCCCTCTTCTAACCTCCATGGACACTGAATACACTCGGGCACATACATACACATAAATGCAAAACAAAAAGAAACCTCACAAATAACAAATGCCAGCAAGAATGATGGGAAATAGGGCCTGGCAGTGGTGGCACATGCCTTTGATCCCAGCACTCGAGAGGCAGAGGCAGGCGGATCTCTCTGCGTTCGAGAGCTGCCTGGCCTGCAAGAGCTAGTTCCAGGACAGCCTTCAAAGACACAGAGAAACCCTGTCTCGGGGGGAAAAAAAAGAATGTTGAGAAATAGGAACTATCATACACTGCTGGTGGAAATGTAAATTAATCCGCGCCTTATGGAAATCAGTATAGAGAGTCCTCACAGATAACACATGATGCTAAGCATGGTGGCACACTTGTGATTAGTACTTGGGAGGTAAGTCAGGAGGATTAGGACTTCAAGTCTATCCTTGATACATAGTTCAAGGCCAGTGTGGACTACATGAGACCCTGCCTGAACACCAAAAGGAGTCAGGTGTGGTGGCATATGCCTGTAATGCTAACCTGGGCTACATGAGACTCTCTAAAACAAACAAAAGCCCTAGAAATTGGTCACCATATGACGCCCCAGCCATATCACTTCTGGGTACTTGTGAGTGTATAACCATAGCACCATTTTACTGCACTATTTTACAATAACCACCTTATAAAATCAACCTGACTGTCCATCATTAGATAAGTGGTATATCTATGCAATGGAATTCTATTCAGACATAAAGAAGAACGAAATGATATAATGTGCTAGACAATGGATGCAGATGGAGGTCATCATAGTAAAAGTGGATCATATGCAGACACAACACACCATATATATGATCATATGTAACAGAGATGTGAAAGCAGAATGGAGGGAGGGGAAGGGAGGGTGGAGTAAGAGGGGGACAGAGGGATGAATGTGCACACTTGAAAGAGCGTCTTCATGAAACAGGTGCAAGATGGATGCTGACAACTGGGCTGCCATGGCTGCCTCAGCACTGCTCTCCTACCTTCCTGAGTTGTGAAGGACCTGGCCCTTCCTCCATATCACTGACGACACTTTCAGGGACTTCAGAGATGTCGTCCTGGTTGGTGCTGGCTCTCTTGGTCTCTGTTGCACAGCTGCTGTCTAGAGGATCCTTGGGAAATAGCCTTTTGGGTGCTGCTCGAGAGATGCTCTCTGGGGCCTGGCTGGCTTGGCTTTGACCCACCTGGGCACTTGACTGTGTGGGCTCTGTCCTGGGGTTTTAAGAGGGATTAGATGGAGTTGTTTAGTGGGAAATACATGTTTATGTAACTAAGAGAGCACGGGAAATGTGAGATGATGATGAGAGCTGTGGATTAAGAAGTCTAGTAACAGAAGAACTTGCTAAAAGTTAATGTGTACAGACAGACAAGTTCAGCAACCCAGCATCCATGAGACATGGATTATGCTGACAGGACCTGTGGTGGTCTGAATGACAGCAGCCCCCACAGGCTCATCTGTTTAGTGCTTGATCCTCAGTTGGTAAACTTGTTTGAGAAGGATTAGGAGGAGTTGCCCTGTTGGGGGAGGTGTGTCACAGGGGTGGGCTTGGAGGCTTTAAAAACCTCCCACCATCCCCAGTACACTCTCTGCTTTCGGCTTCTGGGTCAAGATGTGAGCTCTCAGCTGTTCCTGCAGCCATGCCCTTGCGCCACCATCATGGATTCCAACTCTTTGAAACCAGAAGCCCAATTAAACCCCTTTTAGAAGCTGCCATGGTCAAGTGTTACCACAGCAATTGAAAAGTAACTAAGATAGGATCACATGAAACTAGTTCAGTTGGTGACTTGCAAGATGGCTCAGCAGGAAAAGACACCTACTGCCAAGCCTGATGGCCTGAGTTTGATCCCTGGGATCCTGATTGCAAGTGTGCCATGGCAAGCATGCCCCCTACACACACACTCTCAAATTTAATGTGCGTGGACATAAAAGGACAACTTTCAAGAGTTGGTTTTCTCCTTCCAGCATATGAGTCACAGGATTAAACTCAGGTTGTCAGGCTTAGTCGCTGGCATCTTTACCCACTGAACTATCTCGCTGGCCTATAGATCAAGTTTTATAAGGTCATGAAAACGCATATTTTCAAATCATAAATCATGACACTAGAACATGTCTGTAAAATATATGTCATGGAGAGAACAATATAGAAAGTGGCATATGTCCTATGACCCCAATCTTTAAAAAGATAACTGTGAGTCAGTCATGGTAAAACATGCCTTTATTTCCAACACTGAGGATACTCAGGCAGGTAGTACTCTGAGAGTTCCAGAGCAACCTAGTCTACGTATTGAGTTCCAGGACAGTAGGGCTATGTAGAGAGACCCTGTCTCAAAAGAAAATTCTGATCTAATGTTTCATTCAATTGTTTCAACATAAAGCCCTTACTATGCAAGTGTAAGGCCTTGAGTCGGACCCTCATAACCTATTTAAAGCTGGATTTGGTAGTGTGTGTGTGTCTGTGTCTTTAATCTCCATGCTCTTATGTCAGGGACAGGAGAATCCCCAGCTCACAGACCAACTAGTCTGCCATGTGCAACTGTGAATGGCAAGATACCTTGTGCGAAGCGCAGTGGGAGGAGGGACCAACACAGAGGCTGTCCTCTGACTAGACAGATGTGGGGGCACATATGCCATCCCCCAGAAATTGGGAGGCTGAGGCCCGAGGATCTCTGTGAGTTCAAGGCCAGACTGGTCTACAGAGCGAGTGCCAGGACAGGCTCCAAAGCCACAGAGAAACCCTGTCTTGAAAAACCAAAGGGAAAAAAAAAAAGAAAGAAAGAAAAAGGAAAACACCTCCAGCTTTACCTTCTTAGTGCCTGGGACAGACACAGTGACTGTGACTGTGGTGAAGACACTCTGCTTGGATGGTCCGATAACGTGGCCAAGATGAAATTCGCCTCCAAGAGCATGTCATCCATACTCAAAACAACGGGTCTAGACAGTCAGCACAAAGCACACTCATTTCTGATGGTGTTAGGAACACAGCAAGTACCACTAGCTTAGGGATAGAGACAGTAGGTGCTCCTTTCATATTTTCATAGTCCCTTTAAGAGCTAGGAAGCTCTCAGTGACCACAGGAAGCTAACCTGATTCAGTTTTAGTTTTGAACTACATTAAAGGCTTACACACGGAATTCACACTTCACATTCTTGGGCTGTGCATAATTTCCTATTTAGACAATTTTGTCAGGAGCCAGTCAAATGTTTCATCTTGCACAAAGATTATCTTTCTCAAAGTACCAAATTACTAACTTTTGCTTTCTTGAGACAAGCCCCATAGAACTTGTTGGCCTCAGACTAGCTGTGTGGCTAAGCTGACCTTCAACTCCTGATCCTGCTGCCCCCACCTCCCACATGCCAGGACTACAGACCTGTGCTACCACATCTGGCCGAATTACCAATTTTAAAGCACCTTGCTATGGCCTCTTTCTAACTTTTAGTTTGATAAATGTTGCTAGTAAAGTTGAAAGGGTCCTGGGATGTGATGCCATCCAAAGGCTTTTGTTATGGTAACAAGAGAAGAGAGAGTTCTTGGGGGACCTACTTCCCAGGAAAGTCAAAGTAGATGGATAAGGGAACGTGCATCACTTCTGAAAAGCTGAGGATCCCCTGCAGGGAGAGGAGGAGAAAGCAGGATCATTCCTTTAGAAGTACTAATGAAAATTTGAGTTTGACTTCAGCAGAAGTATTTGCTTACCTTTAGTTCTTTAAAGCAAAATGTTATTTCAGTATCAAGTCCAACTTGAAAGAAGTCAAACTCTTCTGGGTCAAAAGACATCTCACTGTACACAGAACTGCTTAAATCTGTTTGATGCAGGGATACAAAGATTAAAACTGAACTAGAGGCATGTGTTAATGTTTAGCACAAACATACAACCATGAGTTAATCAGAGCCAGACAGTCTTTGTTCTTCCTTAAAGGTGGGGTTTAAGGCACTCCGCCAGGGGAATCTGGGTAGCCTGTGACTGGTCTAATCAACAGGGAAAGGCGAACACAGCCATGCCTGTATGAGACCAGTCCCAGCACTCACTCTGCCCTGTGTGCTGCTGCCTTAGGTTTTCAGATGCTTCCAGCCTCACATTGTCTAACCACAACTGCATGAGGCCCCAAGTGGCAACTGCCCAGCTGGGTCCCATCAACCTGCATGGCCCTGAAGGGTAAGAAAGGACTATCCCAGTTACAATGTTTTGGGATGGCTTTCTGTCAGCAATAATTAGCCAGAATACCATAACAACATCTTTTTTTTTCGTTTTAAGTTTTTAATGAGGCAGGAAGGGTCTCATGTAGCCCAGGTTGGCCTCAAAATCATTATGTGACCAAAGATGGCCTTGAACTCCTAATCCTCCCTGCCTCCATCTCCCAAGTGCTGAAATTACAAGTCCAGGCCACCATACATGGTAAAGCTAACTAATTCTTAAAGGGACTAGTCTAAATATAGTTTACATGTATAAACAAGTTATAGTTTATTAGTGAATTATATCCCATATTGTTTTATTTTTTGAATTTTTTATTTGAATTAGAAACAAGATTGTTTTACATGTCAATTCTAATTCCCTCTCCCTCTCCTCCTCCCCTGCACCCCCATATTGTTTTAAAAGATTAAAAATTTAAAACATCACTGGACGGTGTTGGCATACATCTTTAATCCCAGCATTCAGGAGTCAGAGGCAGGTGGATCTCTGTATCTTTGTGAGTTTGAGGCCAGCCTAGTTTACAGAGTGAGTTCCAAGACAGCCAGAGCTGTCGTCACACAGAGAAGCCCTGTCTCAAAAATAAATAAATAAAAATTAAAAACCTCTCAAAAATTTTTAAGAAATGAATTAAAAAAGAAAAAAGATAATCAGACTAAATTATAAAAACACGGTTTAGCCAGGTGGTGGTGGCGAACACCTTTAATCCCAGTACTTGGGAGGCAGACACAAGTGGATCCCTGTGAGTTTGAGACCAGCCTGGTCTACAAGAGCTAGTTCCAGGACAGTCTCCAAAACCACAGAGAAACCCTGTCTCGAAAACCCCAAATATATATATAGCTTAAAAGATGAACTTAGGGTTCAAGGCCAGTTTAGGCAACTTGTCAGTCCCTGTCTCAATAAATAAAATCAATAAATAAAAGCTAAAAAGATGGCTAGAAGTCAGGCATAGTAACTCATACCTAGAATCTAGCATTTAGAAAGCTAGCATTTATAGGCAGGAGGACTACCACCAGTTCAAGGCCAGTGAGTTAAGCACTCAGTGAGTTCTAAGCCAGGCTGAGCTAGTGTGAGACCCTGTCTCAAAAAAGAGAGGGGTAGGAGGACCTGGAGACTCAGTGGTAAAGTGCTTGCTTGCCTACCATGTGTGAGGCATGGGTTCATTATCCACACAGGAAAAAGAGGCCAAAGAGGAACAAAACAGTAGAAAGAAGTGAGGTATCGGGGACAAACCACACTTTCCCAGCTCTCAGGAGGATGACAGGTTCAAGACAAGCCAAGTTACAGAGGGAGTCCTCAGAATAAATTTAAAAAGAAAATACCTATCTACAGAACTGAGGGAAGTATCTGCAGTTCATACATGTGATAAAGGGCTGGTAGAGTAAACAAATGGCATTATCCCAGGGAAGAGGGCAAGAGTCTGAACAGACATTTCTCCAAAGATACATGATGACAACAGTAATTAGAAAGCTGGATATCATTACATTCAGGAAACAAATCAAGCCACACCTAGAAGCTACTTCATACCCACTGGGCTCTAAAACCAGACAACAGCAAGAATTGTCAAGGGAGTAGGGAAACCTGAACCTCATCACTGCCTAGGGCAATAAAATGGTGTTCCCATCACTGAAAAACATCTGGCCATTTTCACAAGGCTAAATGGAAAGTTACGATATGACTCCTAAATCTGACCAAGATAAACGTCTACACAAATGCTTGTATATGGCTGTTCATGGCAGCATAATTCCTGAGAGTCACAACTGAAAGATTCACCAAATGATGAATTGAAATAGAAAATGTAGCACATCCATGTAAAGGAATATTAGTAAATAACAAAAAGAAATGAAGTACTGGTAAAGATGACAATACAGAAAAACCTAAAAGAAGCTGCTGAATGTAAGTAAAAGTGCAGATGCAAAAGGATGTAAGTTGTGATTTTATGTCTGTGAAATGTCTAGTCTGGGCAACCCATAGAGATGGAAAGTAGATGAGCCCTAGGGCTGGGATGGGGGCAGAGGAGGAGAACTGGAATATTATAATAGCTTACTCCTACAAGTATACTAAGTGACTACTTGAAACGATCTATTGTATATGTGTGTTGTAGCCTAGTAAAGCTGCTTTTTTATTTTTTTCTGTGTTTTACATAATTTTATTTTTTCCTCCATTTTTTATTTAAATTAGAAACAAGATTGTTTTACATGTCAATCCCAGTTCCCTCTCCCTCCCCGCCTCCCCTGTCCCCCACCCTACCTATCCAATATCATTTCTGCTCCCCAGGGAGAGTGAGGTCTTCCATGGGGGTGTCTTCAGAGTCTGTCATATCCTTTGGGATAGGGCCTAGGTCCTCCCCGTGTGTCTAGGCTGAGGGAGTATCCCTCTGTGTGAAATGGGCTCCTAAAGCCCATTCCTATGCTAGGGATAAGTACTGATCTACTACAAGAGGCCCCATAGATTTCCGAGGCCTCCTCACTGACACCCACATTCCTGGGGTTTTGGATCAGTTCCATGCTGGTTTCCCAGGGATCAGTCTGGGGGCCAAGAGCTCCCACTTGTTCAGGTCAGTTGTTTCTGTGGGTTTCACCAGCCTGGTCTTGTCATAAAGCTGCTTTTTCAAGAGAACAATAAGGGGCACACTTGCCCAGACTCAAGGTCCACCCATCACAAATAACTTCTTTTGTTTTTCGAGACAGGGTTTCTCTGTGTATAGTCTCACCCAGGCTCCTGGGGTGTGAAGTCTCAAGTATGGGAGATGCTTCAACTCAACAAGAAGGCTCATGCCATAGCTAGTGTTGTAGCAGAGGAAACCCAGTAACAAGATTAGACAGTGGCTAGTCAACCACAGCTGTAGCCACTCATTAGAAAGCCCCTCTTGGGCAGTGTTTATGGGCTACTAAACAGCCACGTCCATTCAAGCAGACCCTTTCACCAGCCATGTGTGTCTTTTCTCGGCCATGCTCACCTGAGTTGCAGAAATGAAGGGAAGTCATTAAAAAGTGTGTTGGTTAAGAAGCCATCCCCTGAAGCCCAAATATTTGGACCCAAATATCTATACAGATTAGGATCACAGATAACTATGAAATGTGACCCAGGCAGGTCACACAGTTCTTGTGCTTCAATTTATCATGTAAGTGACAGCACCTACATCACAGCCTGTTCTCAAATACTAAGTGATTCGTGAGGTATACTAGGTAAACACAACAGTTACTGGGCCCAATGTAAACCCTTCATCTATTGCTTTTCACCTTAAATACCACAGCTCCTGACCTAGCACCTGGTCAGCAGCAGAATGCTCACCCAGTGTGCATGCATGTGAGCCCCCCAACAGTTCTGCAATACAGCGAGTTGACGACACAGTTCCTTATCTTCCACTCTTTCTAGCACAGTTACAAGGAGCAAAAGATCCCTGAGGAAGGCACTACATAGAGCAAGGTGGACCCAAAGGAGGTCCCTTACGAGATCTCATCACCAAAATCCCCTTCTAGACAGTCTAGGGAGAACTGACTTAAGGGGGGTGTTCACGAGGTTGCCCTGAGCACTTGCTGTCTGGAATACTGCAAAATTCTAATCCTGAGGAACCTTTTCTTTATATGCAGTCAGAATTCATCTCAGTCAGATTGCTGGCCTCTTAGGATGGTAAAGGATGAGACACAGACCTCGAAAGCTTAACTGAAGCTGGGCATGTTAGAGTGAGCCCGTAATCCTAGCTACTTGGTAGGCTGAGTCAGGGAATTGTGAGTTCTAAGCCAATCTGAGCTACATAATGAGAACCTGTCTTTAAAAAAAAAGATTAGGATGGAAGGAAGGAAGAGGAGGAAGGAGGGAGAATAGGAGGTCAGTCATTACATGAAAATGTATTTTCTCAATAACCACTTTTCATTTTAAAGCAACCTGAAAATTCAAAATCATACACTTCAATTGTGAATCATATAGATTTCCCAGACCTGGCCATCATTTTTACCATTTTTTCTATGTCTTGGTACTTCTCAGACAGCAGCAGCTATTACACCACTGACAGGCACTGTGTGTGGAGTTATGAAGAGGCAGGAAGCATGCTCCACCCCATCCCAGCACAAGGCGGACATCACCCTTACCCAGGGACTCCCCACTCGAACTCTTGAGGCAGAAATTCCCTGGAGTAACAGAAAAGGTAACTTCCTCTTGATTTGACGTTAGAAGAACAATGGCCTCAGTCAGCAATCTGTAAAATGTGATGAAATGTACTGACATTATTGACAGTTGAAAATCAGCTATAACCTTACTGGTATTAAAATCTTGACTCTGGACAGGCCTGGGTTTAGGAAACGTCCTCCAAAGGTCTGCCTTCTTTCTTATTGCAGTGTTTTTTAAAATTCTTCCTTCCTTTGAAGGCCCACTAAGAGGGCTTAGCAATCAAGGGCATGTGAGATTGTAGGAAAACCTGCAGAAGCTGCAGTGTGGGCAGGACATGGGGATGGCACCTTCGATTCTGGTTTCATGCTGTAAAGGGAGACAGTAGAAGATGGAGCTGCTCAAAAACAGCGGAGGTTCACTTAGCTAGAGCCCCATGTGGTGGTTAAAACTGAGATGGCCCCTGTAAGTCTCAGGCATCTGAATACTTTGTCCCAGTTGTTAGAACTGTTTGGGAAGGATTAGGGGGTGTGGTCTTCTCAGAGGAGGTGATACTGGGGATGGGCTATGCCAGGGCTAGAGAGGGCTCAGCAGTTAAGAGCACTGACTGTTCTTCCAGAGGATCTGGGTTCAATTCCTAGCACCCACATGGCAGCTCATAACTGCCCGTAACTCTAGTTTCAGAGGATCTGACACCTTCACACAGATATACAGACAAGCAAAACACAAATGCACATGAAATAAAAAATAATTATTAAGAAAAATAAAGACTGCCAGGCAGTGGAGGTGCATACCTTTAATCCCAGCACTTGGGAAGCAGAGGCAGGTGAATCTGGACAGCCAAGGCTACACAGATAAACCATGTCTTGAAAACAAAACAAACAAACAAACAAACAAACAAAAAGATAGGTGCCATTTGCAGTTAGTTCTTTCTCTCTTTGCCTCCTACTGATATATGAGGTCTCAGCTGTTCTGCTGCTTTGTGGACTCTAACCCTGAAAACTGTAAGCCCAATTAACATTCTTGTTTGTTTGTTTGAGACAGGGTCTCTCTTTGGAGTCCTGACTGTCCTGGAATTTAACTCATATGAAGACCATCCTAGCCTTGAACTCACAGAGATCTTCTTGCTTCTGCCTCCCAATACTGGGATTAAAGGTGAGCACCGCTATGCCCAGCTAAGCTTTCTTTGATTAAACTGCTTTGGTTATGGTGTTTTGTCACTGCAATTGAAAAGCAACTAATCTTACAACATAACAGGTAGAGGTTCCCACCCAGCTGCCACCTGGATTTCTGTTACTGTCCTAGGCTATCTAATACCTGTTACTTCAAGGTTCTCCTGACATCCAGCTGCCCTTTCATTCTAGATCCCCTTTGGGTTGTTTTCTTCTTTTGGTTTTTCTGAGACAAGTCTCTTTGTGTGGCTAGGCTAGCCTGGAACTCTTCCTCAGCCTACTGAGCGCTGGGGTCACAGGAGACAGCCACTATGCTTGGTTTAATTACACTCCTCTCTACGAACAGATGAGTCCACAGAGAACTCACTTAAGGTGAGCAAGCTTGAGGCTTGCTTTTCGCTCGCCCAGTGATTATGATACTGGCACCTTCATGTGCTCTCTGTGCACACTGAGGTCTTCTTTGTCCATTTCTAGTTGGACTGCCTTTTTTAAAAAAAAAATTATTTATTATGTATACAACATTCTGCTTCCATGTATATCTGCACACCAGAAGAGGGCACCAGATCTCATAACGGATGGTTGTGAGCCACCATGTGGTTGCTGGGAATTGAACTCAGGACTCTGGAAGAGCAGTCGGAGCTCTTAACCTCTGAGTTATCTCTCCAGCCCCTGGGATGCCCTTTTTAAATTGTATAATAGAGCCAGGCGGTGGTGGCACTAAAAGACATTAAAGGCGTGTGCCACCACTTGGGAGGTAGCGACAGATGTATCTCTGAGTTGAAGGCCAGTCTGGTCTGCAAAGTTAGTTCCAGGGTGGCTAGGGCTAAACCCTGTCTCAAAAAAAAAAAAAAAAAAAAAAAGTATAGTAGGTGGTTGAGAGACAGCTCAGCAGTTAAGAGCACTAGATGATCATGCAGAGGACCAAGTTCCAGTCCCAACACCCACACTGCTACTCACAATCACCTGTAACTCAAGTTCCAGGGCATCAACACCCTCTTCTGTCCTGAGGTGACCAGGCATCATGTGGTACATAGGCACACATGCAGACAAAACTATATATGTATATATATGTTTTTTAATAAAATTTCATTATAACAAAACAAAGAGAAATGGCAAGTTCTACCATCCTTTTGAACTTGAGGTGCTATATTAAAATGACATTCTTAGAATTTATGTAGGCTTAGTTGTTAGCCTAATGCTACACATAGTTAGCAGTATATCTTGATGCCACAATGTCAGGAACAACTATCCAGTTCATTTGGGGACTTCTCCCTTGTTTAAAGGGAGGTGTTATACAAATACCAAATGAATTTGTTCTAAGCCCAAGCCTTGCTATGTAGCCCAGGCTGGACTTGAGCTCATGATTCTTCTGCCTCAGCTTCCCCAGTGTTGGGACTCCAAATATTTTTTTCTTTTGTGTTTATGGGGGGTCAAACCCAGAGATTTGTATGTGTTAGGTAAGTGTTCTGTCTCTTTGATATAACCCAGGCCAAAAGATAGCAAATAAGTTGATATAAAACACGAATATCCCAGTACTCGAGAGGCAGAGGCAGGCGGATCTCTGTGAATTCGAGGCCAGCCTGGTCTACAGAGCAAGTGCCAGGATAGGCTCTAAAGCTACACAGAGAAACCCTGTCTCGAAAACCAAACCAAACCAAACCAAACAAAACAACCCACTAATATCCAAGTCAAAGGGGAGGAAAAATGCCATGCAAGGTAGTGCATGCATATAGTCTTAGCACGTGGAAGCAGAGGCAGGAGGAATTTTAAGTTCAAGGCTCACTTCAGGTATAAGACTGTCTTAAAAGTGTGTAAAAAAAAAGCAGGAAAAAAGTACAAACTAGTAATAAACATGTAATTTTCAGACTCATTTTTAACAAGGGAAAGGCAACCATTTTACCTATGAGGTTGTCAAAAATTGTAAAGATTTATTATGTCTTCTATTTAGAAGAACTCCTGCACTTCTGGTGAGAATGTGAAGTGACATAAACTCTTCAGACAACAACTGAGCTGTCAGAATACAAGGGAATTCCAAGTGTGTCTCAGCCTCTGACCCACTAACTCCATTTTTAGGGTACTGTTGGGCAGCCTGTACCATGGCCCTAACAATCCCTGCTTCCCTTTTCTTGGCTCTTAACCCTTCCCTCAAGTGTGAGCTCTCATTTCTGAGAGAAAATCAAAGGCACTATGAGGTGGCAGCTGTGACATAAGTGTAAAAGGCCTGGGGCTTCTGTTTTGAAGCTCTCTCTCATCAGCATCTGACATTTGTGAGGACTCTCAGGTAGCAACCTCCATGTTTGGGAATGGATCTTCCTGAGCTCCAGCAGCCATACTAGTGAGTTCTGTCTGCAGTGCCTCCCTCAGGGTGAGCCTTCGAGTGACACTGTGGCCCTGGTGATACCTCTTTTCCAACTCAGGAGAGACCTTGACCCAGAGACACCCAGATAAGGTCCAGCTCTTTCAACAGAGTAATAACTCTGACTTGTGAAGGCTCTACATTTGGGGGAAATTTGTTCCACAGCAATAGATAACATACTATTCTGTTTTCAGAACCAATACTATTCAGCAGTGTTTGTGACAGCAAAAATGGGGAAGCAACCTAAATGTTCCCCTGTAGAGTAATCAGTAGGAAATTATAGCTCAGATACATAATGCAAAAAAGCAATTACTCAAAATAATTAAGTGAACTGACATGGAAAGATCTTCACAATAACTTAAATTTCAAAGGCAAGTTTAGGGCCAGAAAGATGGCACTTGCTTACCAAACCTGGTGACCTAAGTTTCATCCCTAGGACCCATGTGGTAGAAGGAGAGAATTGATTCCAGCATGTTGTCCTCTGACCTCTCCCCATACATGTTCAGTAGCATGTGAATTCACACAAACACTTGGGCCGGGGTAGGGAGGAGGTGGGCTGTAGGGAGTGTCACCAGATTGCTAATGGAGAGCTACAGAGGGTGGCAGAAGAGCAAGTCTCATGGTCCCTTTGTCATTCTTCAGTACATTTGCTTGGATGTGTTGCTGTTAACAAGGATTCCTTTTATAATTTAAAAAAGCAGTAAGATAAAATACACTTTGCTCCAGAGTCATGTTAATTAATAGTCAATGCTGCAACTGAACTGAATCAAGCATCCTTTCAGTGACAAATATGGCTCACTCATTACCTAGAAAAACGTTGAAAAAAGAAAATCAATTTGCATAAAAATGTTCAAATTTTCTCAAGCTATGTGTTCCAAGGCTCAAACAGAAGTTATATGGGCGTGAAGCATCATAATAGATTTCCCTTTTTGGCTGGAACTCAAAGTGGGAAGCCATGGGTGGGGTATTTCAGAGCTCCTGGCCAATGACTTGCTTCCTTTAAGCAGTTTCCACCTGTCTTCCTCAAAGCTTCTACTTGATAATGTCAGTGACTGCTCTAAGCCATGGGCTAGCCTTTTTACAAAGATTAACTGGTAAGAAAGTTCTAGGAGGATATGGGAGCAAGAGAGGATAGCTTGGTGAGTGTGCACAGCATGAAATGTCATACAGAAAGCCAGTGTTTTGTGTGCTGACTTAAAAAGCATCTTAAAAAGGAAAGACCAGCTCCAGGGTAAACTGTTCACTGCCTGAGGACGCTGTGTTCAGAAGAGAAAGGGGCATCAGGAGACTCATTACCTTGGTCTTATCATCAGGATATTGGCACACAAGCTCTTTTCAAAGAGAATTTTCAAGGGCTGGCTGTCTTGGAAATACACATTGTGAGTTCTTTTAATACCTTAAAGAGAACAAAGAAACCTCTTAATAACTGTAAGTGCAAAATGAGCAGGCTTTAAACGCCTGCCTTTCACAGCTAAATTAAAGCAATAAAATTAAAGTTATGTTTCCTGTGTGGCAGGTGCATACAACCTGCAGTGGAGTATGGCTCTAATGAAATGTGCTGTTGCCCCCTAGTGGACAAGGAGCAACATGCCACTACCTCTGAGCAAACTAGACCAGGTCTAATTCATCCCAAGGGTCTCAAACTCCATAGGTAGCCAACTCCGGATCCTCCTGCCTCTACTTCCCAAGTGCTGGGATTACAAACAGGTATGTACCATCATGCTCATGTACTGGAAATCAAACCCACGATTTCTTGCATGATAGGCAAGCACTAGAGATTTAGCTACATCTCTAGCCCCTGAAAAGAAACTCCTTAAATGTATGTGATTCAGTAACTGGTACTACAGGTCATAGATCTGCAACACTCTTTTTGACTATAGGACCTTTGATAGTTAGACCTCTAAATCTGGTCTATGATTTCTTTTTACTTTAGGAGCAATAGTAATACAGGCCAAGTGTTCCTGTCCTAAATGCTTAGTGTTTCAGGGGCTGGAGAGACAGCTCAGTGGTTAAGAGCACTTGTTCTTACTGAGGACCAGGCTTCAGTTCCCAGCCCCCTTGTATATTTACTACTGTTTGTAACTCTGATTCCAGGGTATCTACCACCCTCTTCTGGCTCTGAAAGCATCAGGCACACACGTGGCACATAGATAAACATGCAAGTGCACATACATGCAAGCAATAGTCATACACATAAAATAAAAATAAGGTTTGGGGAAATATTTCTATTGACTTTATAAGTTGAGTATCCCTAATCTGAAAATCAGATTTTGGGGGCTTTTAGATTCAAACTTTCAGAGTAGGGTGCTCTGTGTTCCAGACACTAGGATGCATTTTTCGTGCATTCTCTCTCATCCTCACTGAAGCTCTTCTAGGGAGGGAGGGACTCAAGCTCAGAAGAGGAAACAGCAGGTTGGTAAGGCTAAGTGAATTTTCAAGGCTACAGTGTTCTAACAAGTACAGAACCTATGCTGATAAGGGTGGCTTTGAGCTGGCTTTCTATAGGCTAGATGTTGCAGCATGATGTTGCAGTAAAAGTCAAAAGATCTAACTGGGACCAAAGAGACAGCTCATCCAGTTGGTAAAAGTGATTGCTACCAATTCTGGCTTTAGTTTGAACCACACTAAATGTACACACACACACACACACACACACACACACACACACACACATTTTTAAAAAGGTTTAAAATTTCTTTAAAAACTGTCAGGCTGGGCCGGATGTTGGTGGCGCACACCTTTAATCCCAGCACTCCGGAGGCAGAGGCAGGAGGATCTCTGTGAGTTCCAGGACAGCTTGGGCTATGTAGAGAAACCCTGTCTTGAAAACAAAACAAACCGTGTGCCCACTAAGATTGCCTCCAATTAGGCCCTATTCCCATAACAAAATGCACATCTGGCCATCAGACCCACTCCCATATCAAAGAACATGACTCTATAGAGCAGTTTTAAGTGGACAGTACTGGGTCAGGGTCGCCATTAAGTCCTAGTCCTGGTCCATTATTAAGTCCAGGTTCTCTTAGCAGAAATAGTATAATTCTTTCCAGCCAGGCATGATGACCTTGGTGAACAACTTCCCTGGAAAAGCAGCCCTGGTGTACTCCAGGATAATTACCATGACATTTACATTGTAAATCTAAATCTATTTGTCCAAACAGCTAAACCTTGGAATTTCTGTCTCTGTGAAACATATTTAATTGTGCAAAGTGTTATTGAGGCCATGAAACTATGGAGGTTGATGGAACTTTTGTTCAGGACTGGTTCCCTTTTGTGCATCAAACAGAACCGGTCACCTGCTATTAAGTGTTTTCTTTACTAATCTCTAAGCGCTGGCTCAATTTCTCACTGGGAAGGTAGATTAATTCTGTAACACTAGCAGAGAACACATCAGATAAAAACTGTGTTCTCAGATCTTTTTTAATTTTTAAAAAGGCTTAATTTTTATTTATAGGTGTGTGTGCACACCCATGTAGATGCCTTAGGAGGCTAGAAGAGGGCATAAGATGGATGCCCTGGAGCTGGAGTTACAGGAGCTTGTGCTGCTCAATGTGAGAGCAGGGAAATGAACTAGTTACCGAAATAACAGCAAATGCCACTAACCACTCGTAACCACTCCAGCACCTACATTTTTTGCAATATTTATTTTTGTTTGTGTGTGTGGGGGTTCATGTGTCATGGCATATGTGTGGAGGTCAAATGACAAGTTTAGAGTCAGTTCACTCCTACCATGTAAGGTCCAGGGATTGAACTCAGGTCATCAGACTTGGCAGCAAGCGTCTTTACTGGCTAAGCCATCTTGCTGGCCCTTCAGACCTTAAGAAGCTGACAGGATTTGTTTGTTTGTTTGAACTATAAAACAACAGGCTGTGTGGAGCTGAACATACATCCTAGGAAACATTCCAGGGCTCTTGGTCTCTGGACAATGGTATAGGCTGTTTGAAGGTCACTGGCTTTTCTCTGGGTAAAATGAGAAGATATTTCAAAGTTTTGACCACTGGAATGATATCATCTGACTCTTGTGTTTGTGTGTGATAGGATTTTTATATGTAGCCTTGGCTTTCCTCATACTCATTCTGGAGGCCAGGCTAGCCCCAAACTGAAGATCCTTCCACTTCAGCCTCTTGAGGGCTAGACTTACTGGTGTGTGTATCAGCGTTTCACCACTACACTCAACAGTATGAGCCCTGACTGGCTTGGAACTGGAACTCATTACATACATTAGGCTGACCTCCAGAGCTCACTGCCTGGAGAGTTTTTACTCACAGAGCTCCAATGTCTCTGCCTCCCAAGAGCTGGCATTAGAGACAGACCACCAAGCCCAGCCCCATCTGACCCATTTTCAAGAAAGCACTGGTCTGCTGTTTGGGAAAACACTTAGCTCAAAAGTTGACAAATCTCCCCGCTGTAAAAATATTTCTGTGTCACTTATGCTGAGGTAAGTCGTGAGTCACATGGTGGGAAGGAACCAGGAAGAAACTCTCCATAAAAGCAACTGCTGCAGTTGTCGGGAGGTGTGCTTTAGAAATTACCTTTGTGAGCCAGTGTGGTGGTGGTGGTGCACGCCTTTAATCCCAGCACTTGGGTAGCAGAGACAGGTGGATCTCTGTGAGTTTGAGGCCAACCTTGTCTAGAAAGTGAGTTCCAGGAAAGCCAGGGCTACACAGAAAAACCCTGTTTAAAAAAAGGGGGGGGGGAGAAAGAGACAGAGAGAAGGAGAAATCACCTATGTGCAGTTCAGAACTTCTCTCAGTGGCTGAGACTCTGAAGCAGTTATGGAAGGAGCCATCATTACTAAAAGCTTTTTCATCTGTGGAGCTTGCACTTTCAAAGGCAGTGACACCTTCAAAGGTGGTCAGTCAGTAAGTGGTTTTTAACCAATCTGAAGTCATTAGCAGATCTGCAGGTTACCTTGCAACAAAAACCTAAAAGACTCCAGTCTCTACTTTCACAAGTGTGTGTGCCTGAATCAGGGCTGCGTTTTCTCTGGACCCCCTGAGCCCTTTCAGAAGCCCTTTTCTGTGCAGGCCTGTCTCTTGAACTGGCACAGAACTTATGTGAAGAGCAAATTCTTCAGGGACACTGAAGAAGTTGTGCTGAGCAACTCTGTGGCCAGTGCAAAAGGGAAAGAGAGGGTTGGGAAAAGTACCAACAGGTGAACTGAATCACTGAATCTTTAGGAGGTCCACAGTCTTTTCCCTTTTAGCACATGTCTGGCAATCGCCGTCTTGGAGGCTGTTTATGATTAGAGTGAAGGTGACTCGTCCTATGTAGCAGCTCATGTCTGGGTAATTGCTTTCTAATAACAGAGCTAAATTGAATTCACTAACTCTTAATTTTTTCCTCCAAAGTCCTAATCTGAATTTCCAGAAGCTAAGTGACTATCAGGCGGCTTTTCTCAACTGAACTGGAACAGTGTTTCTCTACCAGCTGATTAGTGTAAAGTTGCATATTCTACAAATCATGGCAGCCTTGGATAGAACTAGCCCAAGACCCATGGCCTCTCCTCTTCCAGCTCCAGGACTCCAGCATAAACCTGTATAGAAGAAAGTGGCCCAGAAGGCGGGTGTTGGTGGCGCATGCCTTTAATCCCAGCACTCGGGAGGCAGTGCAGGCGGATCTCTGTGAGTTCGAGACCAGCCTGGTCTACAAGAGGTAGTTCCAGGACAGCCTCCAAAGCCACAGAGAAACCCTGCCTCGAAAAACAACAACAAAAAACAAACAAACAAACAAAAAAAGTGGTCCAGATATGTCAATTGACCAAGTGGATGACAACACTAGCCCCTGGCTACCTGGTAGAGTCCAGGTTGGTCTAGGAATAGCAAAGTCAAGTATTTTTTGTTAAGGGATGTACCAGGCAAAGTTTAGGCAGCTCCTGGTGTGGAAGAGCATCTAGTCCCTGCTGCTGGAGGAAGTCACTGTTAGTTTTATTGTGGTGGTACTGATAATTTATGTTGTAAATCAAACCCTGTGAAGGAAGAGAAAGAAAAAGATGGAGAAGGACGGAAGGAAAGGAAGGAGACTGAGGAAGAAGGCAAAGAAAAAAGGTAAGGAGGAGGGAGAGAGTGGAGGAAGGAAAGAAGGAGAAAGAGGAGGGAAGAGAAAAAAGGAAAAGAGGGGGAGAGAAGGGAGAAAGAGGCACGAGAAACAGCAGCGGCTGGGGCAGCCTAGATTGAACCACACCTGCAGCATAACATCAAGCTTTCACCAAAACCAATGTTGTTGAGTGGAATTGTCTGATTTCTCCCACTTCTGTTCTTTGTATCTTAAAGCATCCTATATAACAGAACCACCCTACAAAAATTATCTTAAATAAGGAGCAGGAGAGACGGCTCAGAGGTTAAGAGCACTGACTACTCTTCCAGAGGTCCTGAGTTCAGTTCCCAGCAATCACATGGTGGCTCACAACTATCTATAGTGAGATCTGGTGCCTTCTTCTGGTGTGCAGATATAACAAATAAATACATATATAAATAAATATTTTTAAAAATTATCTTAAATGAATCAGTTTTGTTTTAATTTTGGTTTTGTTTTAACACAGGGACTCAGGTGTTCCAGGCTGGCTTGGAACTTGCTATGTAGCTAAGAATGACCTTAGGCTTCTGAACTCCTGCCTCTAAACTCCTCAAGTACTGGGATTATAGACACAAACCACTAAGCCCAGAACACAAATATTTCCTGGATATATGTGGTTTTTTGTTGTTGTTGTTTGTTTGTTTGTTTGTTTGTTGTTTTTCAAGACAGGGTTTCTCTGTGGCTTTGGAGGAGGCTGTCCTGGAACTAGCTCTTGTACACCAAGCTGGTCTCGAACTCACAGAGATCCACCTGCCTCTGCCTCCCGAGTGCTGGGACTAAAAGGCATGCACCACCACCGCCAGGCTAGCTCATGTTTGAGATGCTTCAGATACTGAACAGCTGGTTCTCTAATTCACCCGGAAAGGGAGGAGGAGGAGGGGGCACTGGCAATCATGGTTGATGAGCACGCACTCTGCATCAGGCTCTGTACCTGTCCCTGTGGGACCCCACTGTCTCCTCACAGCAGCCTGTGGAATGAGGGCAAAGCCACCCCCAGTATACACAGCAGAAAGGGAAGGCTCCTTGAACCTTGCGTCCTTCCACAAAGCTAACAAGCAGTGGTGCAGAATTAATTCACAGTTACTTTCTGTGACATTCAGCCTTACTGTCCTTTTTTTGGGCGGGGGGGGGGGGGTTTCCAGACAGGGTTTCTCTGTGTAGCTTTGGAGCCTATCCTGGCACTCGCTCTGGAGACCAGGCTGGCCTCGAACTCACAGAGATCTGCCTGCCTCTGCCTCCCAAGTGCTGGGATTAAAGGCGTGAGCCACCAACACCCGGTCACCTTACTGTCCTTTTAAGTCCCCTCTTTACTTGGTTTGCTATTACATGGATTTAGAGTCAAAGAAGGGAGAAATAATGTTACACCATTCATATTTATAGAGAAAACTTAAGTACTATAAATACACTAAATAAAAATACATGATTAAGATGAATATAAGTCAAAATTAAGAAATGGAATTCTAACAGTCCTATGAAGTGAATGGAAAGTTACCACCTTCCATAAGATTGCTGAACAAAGAGGATTTGGACCAATGTTACAGCTATGAATTCTTTTTTTCTGAGACAGGATCTCACTATAACTGAAAGCCTGAAACTGGCTATATAGCTGCACTGGCTTTTAACTCATGATCCTATTGTGTCAGTCACCTCAGTGTGAGGTTCAGAAATGTGTGCCATCACATCCAGCTAGAAAAAAACAATTTAGATTCAATTGGACATTTGTGTAGGGGTCATGTGTTACGTGTGTGTGTGTGTGTGTGTGTGTGTGTGTGTGTGTGTGTGAGGCTAGAGGGCAATCTCAGGTGTCATTCATTCATCTGGGCCTGTTTACCTTTTCCCCTAAGATAGCACCTCACTGGTCTGAGGCTCACCAAGTAGGCTAGGCTGGCTGGACAGCGAGCCCCAGGAATCTGCTTGTTCCTGCCTCTGCAACATTGCAACTACAGGCATGCATCATCATACCTAGATTGTTGTGGTTTGTCTCCCCCAAAGAGTTTCCCTGACTGTAGACTAGGATGGTATCAAACTCACAGAGATCCACCTGCCTCTGACTCCCAAGTGCTGGGATTAAAGATGTGTGCCACCACAACGCAGCTATATTTTTTAAAACATGGATTTTGGGGATCAAATGTGCTTTCAAGGTTGACTGATCCATCTCCTCAATTGGACATTTAAAAAATCTGCTTTGTTTTGCATTCAGACCAGCTTGTGTCAAGAAGTCCAGAGAAAATAGCAGTGACCACCTTACAGTACAGCAAAGACAGGTGACATACCTAACATGCTCCATACCCGTATATACCTCACTTCACAGGAAGTCTGTGTACTATATGCATAAAAATGCTAAGAAATACACTGCTTTCAATGGCACCTACCATGCTTGCAGAAGAACTGGAAGACGACTCTGCATTTATCCAATCTGCTGACTATTTTGCACTTCTCTACACTTTTTTCAAGATAATTCAGACATCTAAAGATTGGCAGAATTGACTGCAACACAAATGCGTTGTAAACATTAGACACACTTAGTATGGCTGTCCCACTAACTTTTTAAAGCCCAAAAGATGAAGTCTGTATATTCATAAATGGCATTGGAATGATTAAGTAGAGTACATTGAAAACCAACTGTTTTTTACCTTTATTGCCAATTTGCAATTTAAATTCATGGGTATGTCATTATCTCTCATTGTAGCTGAGGGTGACCATTGATAATGTTGAAAAAACAAAGATGAGAACAGGATATAGCCATATGTAGAATGACAGGAATTCACAGCCCTCAGAGCAAGCTGTAAAAAAAAAAGTTATTTCAGAGAAAACTAACTTCTATTCTGAATTACTCCTATTATGAATATAATGTCACAAATACATTCAAATGAAACCAAGTACATTGAATTTACACATGGACACCTACATATATGTATCTACATTGAACATACATTTACATATTCTATAATCCTAAACTCTGAAGCTGTAAAACTGCAAATGTCCACAGTGACTGTAATGTTAATGCATGAAAGAATGAAACAGTGATAGAAGATAGCCCTGAGCGACTATCCAAGGGGAGGAGCTAGCACTCAGTTCAGCCATCCTGGGAATTCGTGCCTACAACTGCCAGGTTCTGAAATTTTAAGTGCTTGGGATTGTGACCCCCCAACCTCTGCCCTTAGCTCTTTTAAACATCTTCTCTTCCTTTACCATATGATCAATCACTTAACACTCTTTTAAATTTATTTTGGCTTTTAAGACAGGTTCACATTGTGCAAATTGGTCTCAGACTCACTATGTGGCTGGTTGAGCTCTGCCTCCCTGGTACTGGAATAGTAGGCCTGTGTCATCATGCCTGGCTTTTTAACTGGACTTACTTACACCTTTCTCAGATGGGTCTAGCCACAGGTCATCACTCACTCGTGATAGAGTCTGTATTGCTTTCCCAAATACTATGGAGGAAAAGAAAGGTGCTGTTTATATTCTTTTTAGCAGTAAAGATAAATCACAGGACTACTTCCACATTCACAGGACTCAAAAACAAAAACTGGAAAAGACAGGAATCAACGGGACAACTTAATCATGCCGGTCAAATTCTTCAATTGATTCTTCAGTTGAGCTTTTTGTTACTGCCCTGTGGGTAAGATTCCTAGAGATGGAAATAGGTATTTTTGGTATTGCAGAGAGGACGCCTCAAACAAAGCACTAGTTATCTAGAAATTGTTGGCAACCATCCTGCTCAAACCTCAAGGCCTACTTCAGTCGGGCTCTATCATTCACTCTGAGCTTGATCTTGGGCAAAAGGCCGGAAAGTAACTGGTTTACCACTCCCTTTGATTTGTGAGTTTATATTGACTATAACAACATTCAGCATCTTGGCCTCCAGGATGTTCAGGTTAGATCATAATGATCTCAGCTTTGATGCTGTGTCAGGTCCTAGCAAGGTGCATCACCGTGAGAGGAATCACCACAAAGTGGCCAAATGTATGTAATACCACAGAGCTGGAAAAACGTGGTTTGAAATCCCTTTTTCCTGAAGATGCCGCAACAATTTCCCATTAAGTGGTTACATTTGACTTTTAGGTTTAGGGTAGGACAAAGCTGAGGTTACACCTGGGAGTTATGCAGCTAATCCACACAGCATTTTATATACTAATTTACCATAGGGAATACCGTATAATAAATACCCTTTACATACAGAGTAAGAATTCAATAAGCCTGCAGTGATACAAAACTCAACAAAATTATTTCCCCTGCAAGCCAACTTCCATGCTAATGCTTTCATTCACTTTCTTTTTTGGGTTCTCCCACCCTCTGCAGGGGGATGGAACCCAGGGTCTTGTATATGCCAGGCAAGCTGTCTGTCTACCCATGAACCCTGTCCGGAGCCCTGTCATTCCCTTTTATAAGGTTGTGTACAATATATATAGTTCCCCCACATCATCCTTCTAATTATTGAGCTCAATTGACGTATTTATATTTCATGCTTATAACAAACTACCAACGAAGGTGTCAATATTAGTCTCAATTTCAAACTGAGGAAACTGAACTTCAAAGTGACATAGTAGCTTGTTCTAGACCATACATTAAAAAAAATTTTTGCTGGGCGTTGGTGGCACACGCCTTTAACCCCAGCATTCAGGAGGCTGAGGCAGGTGAATCTCTGTGAGTTCGAGGCCAGCCTGGTCTCCAGAGCGAGTGCCAGGATAGGCTCCAAAGCTACACAGAGAAACCCTTGCCCCAAAAACCCAAAAAAAAAAACCAAAAAAACAAAAAAAAAAACCCAAAAAACTTTTGCTGGTCATGTTATTTTCCTCTCAACTTCCAATGCTACAATTCATTTCATGGTCACCAAATTACTAGGCACAACTAAAGAAGAGGGACTGTCACTAACGAAGAGGGACTGTCACTAAGGAAGAGGGACTGTCACTAACGAAGAGGGGCTGTCACTAACGAAGAGGGGCTGTCACTAACGAAGAGGGACTGTAATTCGAAGCCCAGCAGTGCCCTTGTGAGGGGCGCTGTGGCCAGGCCTTGCGTCCTCAGTCCTGGCAAAGAACGGCAGTGGGAGCGAAAGAAGACGATGAGATACTTCACAGACGTTAGGCTCTCCCTTTTCGAGGTAGCAAAGCAAGAAGGGCCGCTCCACCTTTCACCTGACCGCCCGTCATCCCGCACTTCAGCATGGCTATCGGGAAAACAGGCAGGGCGGGCGGAAACGCGCCCCCCGCAGGTACCCGGATGTTACTCGCACTTTCTGCGATCTCAGCCTCTACCTTGCCCCACCCACGTTTACTTCCTCCTAGCCCGGTTTCGCTGTCTGACGGGAAAAAGACCCTTATGGGACCCCGTAGGACAGTCTCTCGCAAACTCCGCGTCTTATTGGTGGCGGAAGAAGTGGGCGGGTC